TTTTTGATTAATGCTCTACCCCTGCCTCCCCTAAACATATAGCAATAACCCAAAATTCTGATGATATCATGATCCATACCCCCAGGGCATAAGAAGATGAATCCCATTTTTAAATGAAGTTTAAAGGGAAATTTTGTAATCGACGGGCCCTTTAAAATATCTTCCTCTAAAACAAAATATTAACAAGCAAACGACACCCCCCACCCATCTTTTGCAGGGTAAACCATCTTTAAGCTAGGGAAAAAACTTACAGATATCTTGGGTTAGATGAACCCTTTAAAAAAATCCCCTATACCACAACCCAAACAAGAAATGCAAAAACTAGGCTAAAAGCCTCAAAACCGTTGGTGGCCCACAACCCCAACTAAGGGGCTTAAAGTGAGAATCGTTTTAGGGAAAGAAAGTACAAAAGCCTATGTCCCGGTCCTTAATTGATTAAAGCTGCTCCCATATTGATATTTGCTAGAGAAAGTTTTTCCCCCCGACCCTTGGATTAAAAAAAAAAATGAAACTCTCGGTTATTCTTGGGTGTCCCCGATCTACAAAAATTCTTAACAAGAGAAGGGGCTTGGGGATTTCTAGTATCAGTGTAGGATTGTTGAGATTAACACTGTACCCCGGGATTAGAATGTTTAGAAACGAACCAGACACTGTCAAATGAATCTTTTCCAATGTCCTAGAGGGAAAAAACACACAAAATTTTAAATGGTTTGAAAAAAGTGCAATTACAATTTAAATTTTTTAAAACCCTTTTCATGAAAATGTAAACAAATGTAGGCAACAAGAAACAATTTTTACCCCCCCTTTGGAAAAATGGGGTTCATTTTTTAGTATTCCCCATACCCTGCAAATCCCTCCCCAAAAGCTCTTGCAGTAATCCCTTTCCTTTAAAAAACCTTTTTTAGAGCAACTGCTCAAAAGAAATTTTCACCCAGCTGGTAGTAAAAGTTTTTCACAATTTTATACCTGGGGTTTTTCCTGGGGAGATTCCGGGGGCAAAGCCCCCGCGGGCCCGGGCCCGTGACCAGGGCCCCCTGGTGGATCAAGCCTGATCAACCCCGGCTTTTCTGCTGGCTGCACGCAAACCAACGTACAGCCAAAAAAAAAAAAAGGGGGGGGGGGGTTTAAAGGAACGAAACTTTAAAAAGGGGTTTTAAAATGCCAGCTTGAAACCCCCCCAGGGTCCCGTTTTGGGAATCCCCCTTAAAGTATTCTGGGGGGGCAGTTTGAACAGTCCCCCCGGGGCCCCTGACACTTATTGTATGGGGCCCCTTAAAAGTGCAAATGGGCAAACCCCCGCTTTTCATTGGGGGGGGTGTTGCATCGTCTTCCCAAATCCCTTTTTCTTTCGTAGTGAGTGAAATTTTTGTGTGCAAGTTCCCGGGACTAGTCCCCCCTAGGATTTTCCAGGTGTATATAAACAAGTATCTCTCCCCCTGCGTTCCCGGGAAAACAGGTTTTAGGAACCCAAGCGCTCCCAGTTAAAATTTAGGTGTTTTATCTCCGTTATGGCCCCCGGGGAAGGTTCCTGGTTCTAGGTTCCCCCAATTTCCCCCCTTCCTTGAAAGGTGCTGTTTGTGGCAGCAATATTCCCCGCCAGATAAACAAGTGACCTGAAGAGTGTCATCATGGGGTTTTGGGCCCCCATATTTTTTAAGGTTTTTTTATTATCCAACCCGTCATTTTTTTTAGCAGATGCGATTGATACAATGTTATGGTCCTTTAAGGTGAATCCTCCCACATGATCACTCCCAGGGCTTTTTACGTTGGTTTTCGCTCTATTTTGTGGCCAGAATTTGTTTTTTAATCTTTATGAAGATTAATTTCCTCGTGTTTACCATATCTTAGTAAATGAAATTTCCCCAAACGTTGAACTTTATATTGTTTTCCCGCAAACCCCCTTTAAAGATTTGGTTTTTTTTTCCCCTGGGGCCTTGCGGTCGCAATGGAAGACACGTCATGCAGATTCCGGGGGTTTATCTGCAAAGGAAAAACAAAGGTTTCGGGGGCTGACAAACCTTTCTATGTCGGGTATGAGGATGAGGAAAAAAGATGGGACGATACTGTGCCTTGGGGGAAAAAGAGCTTTTCACCCTAGCTGCCTCGGACTTTACTCTGTTGACGACTAAATCTCTGTGTTTTGTTTAAAATGGAAAGGGAAAAATTTTAGATCCATCGACCGACTTTTCCCCGTTTTTTTCCTTTTTCACCAAATTTTTTGCGCTATTAGCCGTGGTTACACTTGTCGAAGGGTTTTGCAAAGTCTGAAATATTACATCTGCATTCTTTTTGTCTTCTAGTGCATACACTGGGTGGGTCTAAACCCGGGGTCTTCCGGCAGGGGTGCATCTCTCTTGTTGCCACCTCCCCTTGGTTTTAAAAACGATAAAAATTTTTTTTAGGTGAACACCTATCAACAGTTTTGGGGAACTTTATTATGAAACTTTCGGCCCACCCCAGTAAAGGGTTTTTTTCCGTCAAGTAACAGAAAAGTTATAGAAGCAGAAAAATACTTTTAAGACGATGTAAACAGTCCCCCACCCTTAAAGTTTTTTAGGTGGGCAAATCCCTCAGTCCGGAGAAGAGCATTGTTCCATAGTATGAAAAAAAAATATGGAGAAGAAGTGGGCGGATGGAGCTTTTTATAAAAACGCCAAAAAGGGGAGACCTATAAAAAAACCCCCATCCTGTCACTTCTTCTCCATATTTTTTCATAAATATTGGGAAAAAAGCCTCTTCCCCCATATGGGGGGACTGAAAACCACCTCAAAACTTTTTAAAGGGGGATTTGGGCGTTACCCTGTCTTCAAGTATCTTCTGCTTCTATCCAAATTTTTTTGTACTTTAAATTAAGAAGCCTACTGTGTAGGCGAAACGTTTCATAAAAAAGATAAACCCAACTGTTCATTGTGGGCCTTTCCTAAAAAACCTGCTGGTATTTTTTTAAAACCCTTTTAACGTAATAAATTTTTTGAGTTTTGGCATGAGAATTAACAACGGGCTTCCCACACTTCAAACTGAATTGTTTGCAATCCTAAAAGGCGCTTTAAAATTTCCCCATTTACACTGAGCTTGACCCTCATCCCTTAAAATGATTCTAAAACATCATTGAAGGGTCTTGACTCCAAAAATGACTCCAAACCAAAAATGCTCATTGGGGAAGCCAGGGGGAAAAATTTCCAAAAATTAAGGGGCAAAGGAATTAAAAGTAAAAATTGCTATGGATCCCAAACACCCCCATTGGATTTTTTCCTTCCCTGATAAGTTTTTATATGTTTTGCCAAGGGAAGAGTACCCAGAAGGAGAATGTAGAATATAACTTTGGTATAACTGTGTCTAGCATTAGGAATAATATTAGGAGAGAAGTAAATAATGAAAATGATTGTTATAGGAATGCAGTTAGAAGCCTGAGTAGATCTATAACCCACTATGATAACATGAACATAGATAAGTATATTTATGGAGCAACGTGCAATGTGAACAGACTGACTGATGTTGTAGTGGCCAGGCTTAGGCTTGGTTACAAGTACTTCTGGCAGTTTGGGAGACACACAGATGATGATCAAACTAAATGTAAATTATGTGATCAGGCATATGGTCACTCTCTTGAACACTATGTGCTTAATTGTCCACTTATTGAGGAATACAGAGACAGTATAATAACCTATGTGACATGTCAAGATATCTTATTAATGAAAATAAGATACCAGATATACTAAGCAAATTTCCTAAATTTGCTTGTAACAGATAAGTGAACTATAGATATGTAGATATAAATCCGTATGTATTCCTGTTAACCCTTTGGGGCCTAGTTCCTAGGCCTTTTGTGTATCCATGTGCTCTCGCGCTACCGTCCACAGGATGGATATGGGGTGCACAATAAACTAGCCACTTCGGTGGCAAAATCTAATATCTGAAGCCTGGCCACTGACTATGGGCACTATAAAGTTGTGTTCTCTTCCCCTGGTACCATGATTGCTTTGGTTCCCAGCCTTGATAAAACTGCCAGCAAGATATTCTGGACACTGTTTATGAGCAATTGTATAAACATGATTTAACTTCAGTTGTTTTACTCTGTCTTCAACAATCAGCATATCCAATCGTTGTAATGCATCCTGGCCTACATGCTCTCTTGGACCCAGGTCCAGGATGAATCTTTACCATTTTGTTTGGGTGATTTGTAGCCTATTTTTTTTTTTTTTTTTTTTTTTTTTTTTTTTTGTCAAGGCGGAGTACCATGAAAAGCAAGCGTAGTCCTTATAACATTGTTTAAGGGTGACATACGGTCCAGCGTTAAAGAAGCAAGGGTTCCCAGTAGTTTAGGAAAAATGTTGCACATATTTGGGTTGGAACCATGAAGTAAACAAAATTTATACCGGAAAGTGATACGGAACAATATGTCCCTAATTATAATAGATGGACTCTGCCTTGACCCCGGTAGAGCCGGACACAACACCTCCTGAGTCAACAACAACAGGGTTTCTTCAGACCTGGTAGGTGCTGTTGTAAGGCGCAAAGAAAAATTAAAAGTAGCGGGCGGAATCTGATAAAGACAATCGCCCGGTAAGAAACAACAGGGAAAATTGGACACTGATGGTTAAGGCAGGGGACAGAGTGAAGCCTCTGGAATCCACCAACGTCGATGCAGAACTCACTTCATGGTTATTATGCGATTTATGCTTTTTTTTTTTTTAGTCTTATTATTAAATTCAGGTTATCTTCATTCCAACACCATCTTTTCCATCTTAGCGGGTTTTTAAAATGATTCTAAAAGACGTTTACTTTTCTTCTTTTACTATTTCTAATTATAATTCAAAAATTTTGAGTTGCATGCATTTGCATAATTTGGCATTGATATGATATGCCAATTAAAGTATTTCATAATTTACAAATATAAGCAATATTCTAAAATAAGAGAGTATTTAATATTATCCCAATAAAGTACACAAGAAAAAAAAATTATTTTAGTGAAAATGTGAATGAAAACATTAGTTGTTTTGAAACTCGTAGTGACACCTGGCGGCCAGGTGGACAAACCTCCACTGGAAGGGCCGTTCTCGAAATGCATTCCATAGAATCTTAGAAATATATACCTTAATGCTATTAGAAAGAACAATATATAGTAAAAAACAATTTAAATATTTATTTCTTTATGAGGGACAAGCTAAATTTGAGGTTGAGAGTATTTTAATATATACATTTTGAGTACTGGCCCTCATTATTTCTTAAGTTTGGCTTACCTGAGCCACACCTACAGTGATACCTGTCTTGGTGTTCCGTTTTGATTATTTCTACCACGGATATATATTATTCTTCATTTCGAACGATTAAATCCTACAAGGTGAAGCATAACTTAATTTTTGTTTGTCTCAAATTTACAATAAAACTGTTTATTCTAATAAACTGTCATTTGTTGTAACGCATTCAAATCACTCAAGTTTGTGAAGCTTTAATTAAGCTATATCTATACCCAGGAAATATTTTCTATATTATTAAAACAGTGAAAAACAAAACAAAAATGACGTATAAAGTAATTACCTATATTCATATTGAATTTTAAACAAAATTTCACTATTTGGCTTTGTTAAACTATTTAATTTAAATTTTAATATATCTCAACGGTATATCTATATTAATATGCTTTAAATATGAAAATAATAATGTATTTAATATAAATATTTTATTAATTGAAAAGTATGTTTGATTAACATATATATTTAACAAAAGAAAGTAGTTTATTCCTTGAAAATAAACCACACAATACCAGTGATCTGTATGACCCTTGAGGGTTTAAATAAATAAATAAATTCATGATGATAATAAAAATAATAATGAATACTAGTGATCTCGCCGATGCTGCCAAGTCGTCGACTGGTCAAGAGAAGGTTATTTTTAGGTTTGTTTAATTTAGGTCTGGTTGCATTTGGTTAAGCTAGTTTTTGGGTTAAGTTCCTTTAGATTATGTTGGATTGGGTTGGGTTACATTTGGACTGGTTTACAACAATTCAACATAATGTAACATAACCTAACATAAAAAATAAACACTTAATGATTTGCAAAACCCACTTACCATTGTATATTGTAAACCATAATAAATTAATTTGATTTGTGCAAAAAAAATATAAAACCCTGCCAAGCAGCTAAATTTGATAAAGATCTAAGCTGGATAATCTCTAATATTTTACCAGCCCCTCAAAGGATACCACTGAGGGGTTCTTGATGCAAGGAACAGGATCTGTCCTCCCTTTCTTTGGGTTGAACATAGCTGCCTCTTATTCCTTAACTGCTGTAGGACCCCTATGAGTTTAGTGCTTCCCCTTAAATATAATAACTATATTTTATCAAGTCACCAAGCCTGGCACCAAGATAAGTTATTGATATTGGTGACTTGGAAATTTGGTGAATTTACTAGATATCATCACTGACTTTATTGAGTTATCCTAAGTTGTGCCTGACAAACATCACTGACTTTTCATTTCACCAACATAACCGATTTATCCAGGCATCCAGTTATCCAAAATAAGATGGTGAGTTTCATCCTCGACCTGGGTTCAAGAGAATTTGTAGCCCAGAATCAATTACAAAAAGTGGAATTGTTTAAACTGGCAAGACAGAATAAAGCACCTGAAAAATTAATTTTTTTTTTTAACTATCAGTTTTACAGGCTAATTCAATTCAATTCAATTCAGTTCAGTTCAAGTTTATTCTCTATAATGGTTACAATGTGGGGTTTACAGGTTTTGGGTATTTTGTGGTTTACATGTTATAAAATACTAATTACAGAGGGGGCCACTAGGACACCTAGCATGGCTAGGCATTTCGAGCAGACTTAGATTAATTCTTAACATTACGTCCTTACAGATTATAATATTAAGGCTAAGTGACTACATCATAATTTGTGAGTTTAGCAATGTGAATGCTTTTGTTTTGGCACAATACAAGGTGTCTATATTTGAGTATCATAGGCAAACTTATGACTAGTTAGGATTTATTATTTTAAGATTAAGATTAGTATTTCTGGGTTTATAGTCAGTGGGTGAGTGAGTGTAATTTTGAACCACCAGGTGGTTATCATGTAGTTAGTTGTCGGGGTGGATCAGGGAGATAAGATGTTTTCTAACTGTAGTTTTGAAAGTGATGAATGTGTCTGCAGTTCTAGAGTTTTCGGGTAGGGTGTTCAAGATTTTAGGCCCTTTAAAATACATTGAATTTTTGTAAAGGTTTAGTCAAAACACAGGGAATGTCATAGGAGTTTGTGTCTGGTGTTATGCTGGGGATCTGTCACAATTATCAAGAAAGCGTTTTAGGTCAAGGTTAATTTTGGGAATTTAAGGCCCTGTAGATATAGATTGCACAGTAGTAAGTGTGGAATTTCTGAACAGGGAGTAACTTTAGATCTTGAAGAGGGGGGGGGGTGTTCCAGGGAGGGGATTTAGTGATTATTTTACTGCAGCTTTTTTGTTGGGTTATTATTGGCTTAGGTGTGTTGCTGCAGTTAAACCCCCAAGCACAGATAGCAAAAGGTGAGGTATGGATATTAAGTGAATGGTATAGTGTGAGAAGGGCATTTTACGGTACGTAGTATCGTATCTTGGAGGGGACCCCCACCGTTTGGATACTTTTTTTGTTATTGTTGGATTATGGGTGCTGAAATTTAGGTTGTTGTCGAGGTATGGGCCCAAGGAATTGCCCTCAGAAATGTCGGCAATTAGAGTGTTGTCGATCTTAATTTTAAAGTTGCGCAACACCTGCTCTGCTACCAAACATAATATAGTAGGTTTTGCCATTGTTAAGTGTAAGTTTATTGGCTGTCATCCAAGTCGATATTTTGAGCAGCTCCTCGTTAACAATGGTGTTGAGGGTGGCAAGATTAGGGTGGGAGATGACATAAGTCGTGTCATCAGCAAAGAAAATGGGTTTCAGGTGTTGGGATATATTTGGAAGATCATTGGTGTAAATGAGGAAGAGCAGGTGGTCCAAGGACACTTCCCTGCGGAACTCCAGTATCACGTGGCCATATTGATGAGGCTGTGTCTTTAATGGTGACATACTGATACCTATTAGAAAGGTAGGATTTAAAATATGCAACAGCATGGCCTCTTATACCATAGTGGTCAAGTTTGTGGAGTAGGATGCCTCAGCTCACTTCAAAGCCATTCCTGTCTAAGGTATTAAGATTAAAATTAAGATTATTTCAGCATGATACCTACTTACTGCCAAGTACCTACTTACTGCTAAGTAAACAGGGGGCAGCAGTTGTAAGGAAACATGCCCAACATTTCCACTCATGCTGGGGATTGAACCATGGACCCTCAGTATCTGAGCTGAGTGCACTGTGAACCATGTGTTCAGAATATCTTGCTGCAGATTTTGTAAAGGTTAGGAACCAAAGCCATTATGGTACTAGAGAGATTAGACATAATTTTATAGGCCACACAATAGATGGTCAGGCCTCGAACACCTGTACACAGCTATCAAGGATTGGAATGGGTTACTTGATAATGTCAAGACATGTTTTAGTTTAAAACAGTTTGAGAATAGAGTCGAAAAATATCAAATGAATGAAGCTACAGAAAAGGATGATACTGTAGTAATTATTTTTTGAAGTGTTAATAGTAAAAATATTCATAATTTGTTTTGATCTGATATGTTAATTTTTATGCTGATTTACATTTATTAATACCACTAAGAGTAGAGGATAAAATGGCATTTACCTGATACTTTGTTTATGTGCCTATGTAATGGAAAACTATGTAATTATGTAACACAAGAACACCAATGTAAGTTATATTGTTTGACTTAGTTAGGCAGTCCTAGGCTGAATTCTATGTAATTTGCTAAACAAAACCATTGTAAAACTTTAAACTTATGTATAAGCCTAAATAAAAGCTTAATTAGCTTTTGTTAGGCATGTGTTTTGCCCATAATTTTACTAAATTGATGTATGGGAGAACTTTTCACCAGTAGGAAAATATTGAGAGCTTATTTTAACCAATTGGAGACTTGAGAATGTTAGTGAGATCACTTGTGTTCCTTAGGTTAAGTCGACATAATGTATTACTAATGTGTATCTACATCTGTGTGCCCTCAGAATTATTATACAAGTTTATACTATTGTACGTAAAGTGTAGATTTCTTGCAGGTGAGTCTGATGCTTCCCCATGAATACATACCCTGCAGATTTCCTGCAGGGTATATATTCTTAAATTTACCTGATGACTAGGAAGAATGTGGTTTGTGAAAGCTCTTCCCACTTTAAATTATAATAAGGCTTTTCTTATGTTATCAGGTTTTCTGTTTATTTGACCACTGTTCTTGCATCAGTTGCTTCATTTTCCACCTCTATCCAGCATAACTGCTAAGTAATTTTTTTGCACTTTCTGTTGCTTTTATGAATTGTAGAATTTTTTGTATCTGCAATAGTTTCCAGTTAATTTATGCACTTATGATTCTGCCTTGATATACAGTAGCTTAATTATTTTGAGGACCTGTAGGGATATCCTAGGTTAACTCACCATAAAATATCACTTTTGCACATCTTGAATGATTGTACAGTACATGAAAAAAAGAATTCCAAATACAAATTGCTAATACAGTGTGTACTATTATGCATTTGTAATTGGCTACTCAAAATAAATACATAAATAAATATTTTCATAGTGATAATAGAAAAAACTAGACAGTGACTGAAAATAACTGGTTGCAAAAACTATATAACACAGTACTCGAACCAGATGCAAATAAAACTCTGAGGAGTTCTGGTTAGCAGAACTCTAAATCCAAAATGACATGGCCTCAGTGTTCACAGTATAGCTAATAGACTTTTTAGCTTGATATCAAGAGGTGCTGTAAAGACACTGGTCAGAGAAATAGCAAGCATCGAACTTAAGCTAAAAGAATCCTTTAGGAGTCAGGAATCGCGGGAAGAACTAAAAGCCATAAATGAAATCGAAAGAAACCCAAAGTATTTCTTCTCCTATGCCAAATCAAAATCGAGAACAACGTCCAGTATTGGGCCCCTACTTAAACAAGATGGGTCCTACACAGATGACAACAAGGAAATGAGTGAGCTACTCAAGTCCCAATATGACTCAGTTTTTAGCAAGCCGCTAACCAGACTGAGAGTCGAAGATCAAATGAATTTTTTATGAGAGAGCCCCCAAATTTGATTAACACAAGCCTATCGATGTTACCTGACGCCAAATGACTTCAAAACGGGCGATAAATGACATGCCCATGCACTCTGCCCCGGGCCAGACTCAGGGAACTCTGTGTTCATAAAGAACTGCAAGAAGCCCCTATCACGAGCCTTTTCCATCCTTTGGAGAGGGAGCATGGACACGGGGGTCGCCCCTCAGTTACAAAAAACAACAAAACATAGCCCCACTCCAAAAAGGGGGCAGTAAAGCAACAGCAAAGAATACAGACCAATAGCACTAACATCCCATATCATAAAAATCTTTGAAAGGGTCCAAAGAAGCAAGATCACTACCCATCTAGAAACCCATCAGTTACACAACCCAGGGCACACATGGGTTTAGAACAGGTCGCTCCTGTCTGTCTCAACTACTGGATCACTACGACAAGGTCCTAAATGCACTAGAAGACAAAAAGAATGCAGATGTAATATATACAGACTTTGCAAAAGCCTTCGACAAGTGTGACCATGGCGTAATAGCGCACAAAATGCGTGCGAAAGGAATAACAGGAAAAGTCGGTCGATGGATCTATAATTTCCTCACTAACAGAACACAGAGAGTAGTCGTCAACAGAGTAAAGTCCGAGGCAGCTACGGTGAAAAGCTCTGTTCTTCAAGGCACAGTACTAGCTCCCATCTTGTTCCTCATCCTCATATCCGACATAGACAAGGATGTCAGCCACAGCACCGTGTCTTCCTTTGCAGATGACACCCGAATCTGCATGACAGTGTTCTTCCATTGCAGACACTGCAAGGCTCCAGGCGGACATCAACCAAATCTTTCAGTGGGCTGCAGAAAACAATATGAAGTTCAACGATGAGAAATTTCAATTACTCAGATATGGTAAACATGAGGAAATTAAATCTTCATCAGAGTACAAAACAAATTCTGGCCACAAAGTAGAGCGAAACACCAACGTCAAAGACCTGGGAGTGATTATGTCGGAGGATCTCACCTTCAAGGACCATAACATTGTATCAATCGCATCTGCTAGAAAAATGACAGGATGGATAATGAGAACCTTCAAAACTAGGAGGCCAAGCCCATGATGACACTCTTCAGGTCACTTGTTCTATCTAGGCTGGAATATTGCTGCACTCTAACAGCACCTTTCAAGGCAGGTGAAATTGCCGACCTAGAAAATGTACAGAGAACTTTCACGGCGCGCATAACGGAGTAAAACACCTCAATTACTGGGAGCGCTTGAGGTTTCTAACCTGTATTCCCTGGAACGCAGGAGGGAGAGATACATGATTATATACACCTGGAAAATCCTAGAGGGACTAGTACCGAACTTGCACACGAAAATCACTCACTACGAAAGCAAAAGACTTGGCAGACGATGCACCATCCCCCAATGAAAGCAGGGTGTCACTAGCACGTTAAGAGACCATACAATAAGTGTCAGGGGCCCGAGACTGTTCAACTGCCTCCCAGCACACATAAGGGGGATTACCAACAGACCCCTGGCAGTCTTCAAGCTGGCACTGGACAAGCACCTAAAGTCAGTTCCTGATCAGCCGGGCTGTGGCTCGTACGTTGGTTTGCGTGCAGCCAGCAGCAACAGCCTGGTTGATCAGGCGCTGATCCACCAGGAGGCCTGGTCACAGACCGGGCCGCGGGGGCGTTGACCCCCGAAACTCTCTCCAGGTAAACTCCAGGAACTATACTACTGTATTGCATTATAATAAGTGCATATTGTTGGTAAGTAGGGTGCTTAAAGCCTGTTATTGATTTATTAGGGGCATGTAAACAAAAACACCAGTTCAAAATTTTTAAATGAAATCAATAAAAATATTAATTAAGATTTATTAAATAAATAAAACTTTCAAAGTTTTATGCAATAACAATTTATAGCTTTTGTTAACACTGAATAATTATCTATATATAAAAAGCCTGTAATATAATCATTGCTAAAAACTTAACTAGAATTGTTTAGATGACTGGACAGATACTGGCTACAGAGGAGAATTTGAAATCGTAACAGAGACATGACTGGCTAATCCTGGTAGCAAGTGCCTGTGCAACACTCAAACTGTGCAGTAGTGCCATATGCATACACAGTGGTACCTTGAGTTTCGAACAGCTTCCAACTCGAACAGTTATGTAAGTGTATTTTTGTAGGTGCTTTTGTAAGTATTTTTGGGGGTCTGAAACGGACTAATCTAATTTACATTATTCCTTATGGGGACAAATTTGTTCGGTATCGGCACTCGAACAGCCTTCTGGAACGAATTAAGTTCGTAACTCGAGGTACCACTGTATTTAATATGAGCATTAACCCGTAAACGGTCCAAACGTATATATACGTTCTTACCGCTAGTGCCCCAAGCGTAAATATACGTTTTATTTTTCCTGCCTCCAAATTTGGCATGACTGGCCTGAGATGCCTGGTCAGCATAGAATGGGTCTTAACACTCGGTGTGCACCATGTTAAAAAAATCTGGGACCACTTAGTACATTGTGGGAGCGCCAGTTATATTGAGCGCCAGCTGGAGCAAACAGTGGGGCAAACACCAAGGATTCACTGATGTAATGTTATATTAACACTCCCCTTTTAAGAGGAAAGTGATGTTAACCCCAAGTTTAGGGTCTGTCTATCTGTCTCTGTCTATTTCTGTCTATCTCTGTCTATCTGTCTGTCTGTCTCACAGGTACACACAAATACAATTATACATAGTGTAAATTACCTAGGATAACTTAAAAATTCCAAAGTGCTATACTGTGCTTGTAGATATAATGCATAAGAATACCTGTTGGTTTACAGTGGCTCTCTCTGAGACAGACAGAGAGACAAGCAGAGGGACAAAGAGACAAGCAGACAGAGAGACAGATAATCAGAGATAGGAGCTAATCGAATATCATCCCTTATCTCTGCACTCTCGCTGGCACCCCCTCTTATCACTGCACTATCTCCTCTTATCTCTGCACCCTTGCTGGAGCCCATCAAATGTCATCTCATATCTGATCTTATCACTGCCCTCCCTGATGCTTGTCACTGAACACTTGTCATACAAATTGCTTCAAGGGAATTCCTTCCTTCCTTCCTTCCTTCCTTCCTTCCTTCCTTCCTTCCTTCCTTCCTTCCTTCCTTCCTTTCTTCCTTTCTTCCTTCCTTCCTTCCTTCCTTCCTTCCTTCCTTTCTTCCTTTCTTCCTTTCTTCCTTTCTTCTTCCTTTCTTCCTTTCTTCCTTCTTCCTTCTTCTTCTTCTTCTTCTTCTTCTTCTTCTTCTTCTTCTTCTTCTTCTCTTCTTCTTCTTCTTCTTCTTCTTCTTCTTCTTCTTCTTCTTCTTCTTCTTCTTCTTCTTCTTCTTCTTCTTCTTCTTCTTCTTCTTCTTCTTCTTCTTCTTCTTCTTCTTCTTCTTCTTCTTCTTCTTCTTCTTCTTCTTCTTCTTCTATACTCCCATGTATCTAAAACTTTGCTTGGACCTATAAATACTTTGTATGTATTCGTAGACAATAGTAAATGACCAAGGCAGGTGTAAATGTCCACCTGCCAGTGTGTTTGTGACAATTTTAGTACCTAATATTAGTGTGAGAACAAAGATTGATTATGAAATGACAAGAACTACAATAAATTGTAATTATCAGAACATAAAAATTATATAAAATATAAAAATGAGAAAAATAGTATATTGGCAAATTCTTCTGCAAGTGGCAGGACTCTGTGTTGCCATCAGGTGAGCATTAAGTGCCAATTTTGCAGCCTCATATCTCAGTAAGTACTGACCCTAATTTTTTTATTTTAATCCTTTAACACTTAGAAAAATGCACTCTTTATTTTTGTTAAAAAAATTATTTTTTTATTTTTCAAAATATTCAGGGCACTGGGGTAGTGAACGTATATATAAATTTGGACCGTTTATGGGTTAAATAAAAACATCCATGTATACAAAATGTTGCAGTTTGTACAGTGCAACATGTATAATTTGTTTAAACTACATTATTTATAATGAACAATAATTTTAAATGGCTCGTATGAAGATCAACCAATTTGTCCATACACACAAATCCAGTATATTGCAATAATGGATTATATGGGGATTACCAATGGACACCAGGCTGTCTTCAAGAGGGAGCTGGACAGGCACCTAAAGTCAGTACCTGACCACCCAGCCTGTGGTTCATATGTCAGTTTGCATGTGGCCAGCAGTAACAGCCTGGTTGATTAGGCCCTGATTCACCACGAGGCCTGGTCTTGGACTGGGCCGTGGGGGCATTGGCCCCCGGAACACCCTCCAGGTACAGTATATGGAAGTCACATAAAGTTACTTCAGATAGGTTACAGTATACTGGCATACATTACATATTGTGGAATGAAAATTAGCTACTGGTTACTGCCATTTTGGAGTAACATCATATCAGGTTGTATCTTGATTACTTAAACATCAATATAAAGTAGATGCTTTAAGTGAAAGTAGCTGGTGTAAGACCTGAGAAAGGCAGTGAAGCTAAGCTATGGATGAGTTAAGAAAGGCAGACAGTATTTTTAACTGACTTTAGTCAATAGTCTTAATTGGTAGGTGAAGGCTGGCTAGCTGACAAGTTGTTAAAAAGACTCGTGTAGCAACAGACCTCTATATACGTTTCACTTACATGAAATGTCTTTTTTTAACCTATCTTTCGATAAATAATTTTACGGTTTTTGTTCTTGCTCACTTTAAATTTTCTAACTAGTTTCATATCTAAACTGTTATTTATTAAACATTATCTCAGAAGGTAGTATTAACTTAGCATGTTTTTTCTATTATTGATAACTGCTTGTGTGTGAACGCACCTGTAAGTGGTTCTCCAGCTCCTTGGCCCAGCCTACCTCAACTCCGTGTGCATGTCGCATCAAAACCTCGAGATGAACTACGTGGGGGATCCTGTCCCCCATACCAGACTGTAATTAAATTTTTGTCTACTGTCTTGCCATTACAGTGATGGCAGTTGGGAATTAACTGCTTTGCTCCATAATCCACTTTAAAGCTTATATTTAAATGGCTATTAATCAGAGAAGGTTTCTCTTGTTTTAGCTGCTTTATATATTAAATTTTATTTAATTAAATTTATTGTTAAAAATATTGTTCAAATGTTGATTTGTGTACGTAGTAGGTAAAAATCTATTACTAACTTACTTTACTAACTATTCTTATTTACCTGGGATATATTATATTATCACATTTGCACACCCAAGTGATTTGAGTTTGTTATTCATAATAATTAAAACATTTAATGTTCTTTTTAATTATTATGAGTTTATTGTTCATAATTAAAAACAATATTAAGTGTTCGTATTTGTACACTACACATTAATATTTCACATTTTGGAATATGTACTCTTATTACATATGTATATTATAGTATATACAAATATATGTGGATGGGAGGAAGAAAGGTGCCCACTCTGAATCAACAGCAAATGACACTCATTGTAGCTTGTGTATAAAATTTTGCAGTTAAGTGAAGACATGCTGTATTTTTTTTTTTTTTTTTTGGTCAGGATACAATTGATAAGGTAGCTATACACCACCAAGTAGATAAGTTGTGGTGTTTCCTTTATTTATAAGATATAAACACTTTATGTGAGTTGTTTACAATATAATATGATTTCACAAGGAAGGAGGGAGGCAAGTGACACTTGTTGCCACCAGTGAACAGGTAAAGACATATTTATTTATTTTATTAATTTATTAATTTGAACATGATACAGAAAAGTACAAGGAATACAATTTTTAAAGTGCAGCATGCCAAAGCCCCTTGTATGCAGAACATTATGGGCAGGCTTAAAATTAACTTAAGATTAACTAAGCAATGATATATTCAGTGGTACAAAAAATTTTGTAAAACAGATAACAATTTAGTACATAAATGAGTATTACAAAGACAGGTCATATGGTCATTTACTGTGTTGCTGTGTAATCAGTAGAATGGAGTATTATGTTAGGTAATGAAGTTAAATAGTTACAAAGTTTGATTGGGTCACAGGTTGACATTTATGAGATACAATAATGAGATATTATATGAGATACAATTATTCAGTATTTATTTAGTTGTGGGTGAGTAAGTGATTTTTGAGAAGAGACTTGAATTTATAAACAGTGTTTCTTTTATATTCACAGGTAATGAATTCCAGATTTTAGGGCCTTTTATGTGCATTGAGTTTTTGCATAGCGTGCGATGGACACAAGGAACATCAAAGAGTGATCTGTGCCTTGTGTTATGGTCATGTGTTCTGTTGAGGTTGGTAAGGAGATGTTTGAGGGGAGGGTTTATGTCAGAGTTAAGTGTTCTATGTATGTAGTAGGTGCAGTAATAAGTATGGATGTTTTGTATTGTGAGTAGGTTTAGAGTTTTGAATATTGGTGGAGTGTGCTGTCTGTAGTGGGAATTTGTTATCATTCTGACTGCAGCCTTTTGTTGGGTGATTAGTGGTCTGAGATGGTTTATTGTTGTTGAGCCCCATGCACAAATTCCATAGGTGAGATAGGGGTAAATAAGTGAGTGATATAGGGCCTGGAGGGCTGACTGTGGAACATAGTACCGTATCTTCGATAGTATGCCTACGGTCTTGGAAATTTTTTTGGAAATTTGTTGTATATGTGTTTGAAATTTGAGTCTATTATCAAGGTGGATTCCTAGGAATTTTCCCTCTGTGAGTTTTGTGATAGGTGATTCATTTATCATTATGTTAAGAGACACATCTGCAGCTCTGTTACCAAACTGAATGTAGTAGGTTTTGTCAATGTTTAGAGTGAGTTTGTTGGTCCTCATCCAGGTTGATATTTTCTGTAATTCGGTATTTACAGTATTGGCTAGCATGACTGGGATCGGGTGAGAATAGACGTATGTAGTGTCATCTGCAAATAGTGTGGGTTTGAGTAGTTGCGATGCATTTGGTAGGTCATTTATGTGTATGAGAAAGAGAAGAGGGCCTAGGACACTTCCCTGTGGGACACCAACTGTAATTGGCTGTGCGGAAGAGTTTGCCCCATTTGTGTACACATATTGGCTTCTGTTGCTGAGGTATGACTTTAGGTAGTTGAGGGAGTGCCCTCTTATACCATAGTGCGACAGTTTTATTGGAGCAAGTCGTGGTCAACTGTATCGAAAGCTTTACGTAAGTCAATGAAGATCCCCAGTGGGACTTCTTTTTTCTCTATTGCTCTATAAATATGTTCTAGCATGTGGATAATAGCATCATTAGTATTTTTATTAGGCCTGAACCCAAATTGACAGGGGTTGAGTATGTTGTGGGAGATGAGGTAGGAATAGCTACGCTTATGGATTAATTTTTCAAAGATTTTTGAGAGAGGGTGTAAGTTGGATATTAGCCTATAGTTATTCAAGTCTGTGTGGTCTCCTCCTTTATGGATCGGGGTGACCCTTGCTATTTTGAGAACTGTAGGAAAGGTAGAGGATTCAACGGATTTGTTAAAGAGTGTTGCAATGATTGGTGATAGCACCTGTGACACTTTTTTGTATATAATGGGTGGTAAGGTATTTAAATCTCCTGTCTTGTTTTTTAGTTTGTTGATAATAAAGGAGACTTCAGTTGGGTTAGTCGGAGCTAGGAACAGTGTGTTCGGGTAGTTATCAGTGTTTGACTGGAGGTAATAGAGGGTAGTAACACACCACAGGTAATCAAGCAGATAATGCTAGGTTATTTTGTTTTACTGTGGATTAGGTTGGGTAAAAGGAAGTCACCATCTGATTTGTGACTATTTTGTTACACTGCATGCCAAAATTCCATTCTCCCTAAGCCATGACATGCAGATTTATATTTATTTATTGTTTACAAATTACATGTACAGTATTGAAGATTGAAGTATAATACAGTATGCTGTATTGTGAAGTACAGTACACAGCAATATATATCAACATTATTGTTGCAGGATTGGAATTGTATGCACTAAGTGAAGCTCACTAATCAACAGATTTGTTAAATGTATTTCTTCTGTTTTGTGTGAGTACATGTATATGGTATCAACACTCATTCTGCTATGAATAACACAAAACATTTTAATTCTGCACAAAATAGAAAATTTGCAAGTAAAATAAAGAGTAAATGCGTATACAGTAAAACATGACGTAGAACACACTGCTAATTAATAATACAATACTGTATAACTTACTGTGCTCATAGGAAGTGTATTGTGGATATATACATTATCCTTTGACATTTCTTTTTGAAATTATTAATGTACAAGTTTTAGTTTTACTTAGTAATAGGTCATTATATTTTGCACTGATGAGAGGAGTTGGTTAAAGCAGCCCTAGGAAATCTGTACATTACCACCTGTTTATTGTACAATTGCTTTGAGTACTTTACTGTATCCTAAATCTCACGTGGATGTTAATGATGAATCTCTCATTCTGTGTAAATACATTCTTGAAAACTTCACTAACTTCTCAGTGTAGGAAATATTTTAATTTTTTTTTTCTGTATATAGAGACCTGTTGATTTAATCTCTGGTTTTAAATTGACTTAGTTGCTTTGTTTTGTCATGTTAGAGGTTATTGATTATAATTTTCTTAAAGACTTCAGATAGTTAATAGAGAATTAATATAAAAAAATGTAAGACTGGTTGGCTTCGCTTGCTCAAGGAAACATTGCTTTGGAGTAAGTAAAGGATGTGCCCATTGCTCTATTATAATTGTTTACACAGTATGTATTCTTCATCTACACCACATTTTTGTGTTACAATTTTATGCCCACAAAGAGCAATTAAAAGTTTCCCAATCTTCGTTTATATGAATTTCACTCTTTTTGCTTTCCTGTTCAGTTATATACAAGACATTCATTTTCCTCATTTAGATTTATAGTACAGTATATAATACTACATGTAATTGGAAGTGCTGTATGATTCTATGTTTTTACTAGGCCATCACACTACAGCCGTATTATTCACTAATTTTTGCAAGAGAGCCACGTCGGTTAAACACATTGATTGAGAGAGCCGCAGCTACTGCAAGTTAGCGTAACTCAGCTAAATTATGTAGTACTGAGCTGCTAGTGAAATATAGTAAATGAGAAAAATTAGACATGGTAATATTAGCCTGCATATCTTGTTATTGGCGGCTCGCGAGCCGTGCAATGAATACCGCTGCACTACAGCATTCCTCTGCAAAACCTTCTAACACTCAAAATACAATACTGTACAGGTAGTTGAAGTGTCTGGGAAAGACTTAACATGACTTTAACCTAGAACAGACAGGACAGCAAAGAATAGAAGTGAATTTTTGTATAGGAATAAACTGTCATGTTAGGAAAGCTATACAGTACATGGTTTGCTAACATACTCAGTACAGGTGTATGGTTTACTTTATTTTGTTATTTTATATAAATTAATATATGATTAGTGAAAATCCTAAATTATGAAATAAGAGATGTGGAAGAAAAACAGAATGTGTTACTAAAAGAGTGATAATATTGCTGGAAAGGATCCATAGAGAATGTACTATAGTTTGTGCTACAGCCATTGCCATTGTAAAAAAAAAATATGCATAATATAATTAAAGGAAATGACCTGCCATGTACTGTATTTATAAATAGAGACATAGACATATTTTATTTCCCCAAATCATGCAAAAGTGTTGCATATAATATTTTAAAATAGCTTTAGCCATGCAATGCATTTCAGGTCTTTACCTCTTCAAGGGGGGCTCCTTGGCGTGGTGAAGAGGCTCTTGGTCTGAGGAATTAGATCTGTTGGTCTACTTCCTCAGGAACGAACCTAAATTACCCCCAAATCCCCCTGTTCCATATTCACCATCTCCCCATCTCCCTTTTTCCTTTCCTCCTCCTCCTCCCCACCCCTCCCTTTTGCCCTTCCTTTTTGGCCTTTTTTTTTTCCCACAGGCACGCTAGTTCCTAGGTAAGGGAAAGGGTACCGGGGTCCATC